ACATTTATCGAGCTACCACTGGGGCCCAGGCATTGTGCAAGACGCTGGCACTTGAAAGATGAAAAAAGGTGCTCATGATGCAGCAAGGGAGACAGATATTGAGGCATTGATCGCTATAATCCTTGGAGTATAGCCGTGAAGAGCTTTGTCAAGATACTATGTGGGGCGCCTGGGTGGCTCAGTCGTTAAGCATCTGCCTTCAGGGCGCCTGGGTGGCTCAGTTGGTTAAGCAACTGCCTTCGGCTCAGGTCATGATCCTGGAGTCCCGGGATCGAGTCCCGCATCGGGCTCCCTGCTCGGCAGAGAGTCTGCTTCTCCCTCTGACCCTCTTCCCTCTCGTGCTCTCTATCTCTCATTCTCTCTCTCTCAAATAAATAAATAAAATCTTTAAAAAAAAAAAAAAAGCGTCTGCCTTCAGCTCAGGTCATGATCCTAGGGTCCCGGGATCGAGCCCCGCATCGGGCTCCCTGCTCCGCGGGAAGCCTGCTTCTCCCTCTCCCACTCCCCCTGCTTGTGTTCCTTCTCTCACTATGTCTCTCTCTGTCAAATAAATAAAAAAAATCTTAAAAAAAAAATACTATGTGACTGTATTGTATGTACGTGGGGGCACTCTACATAGGGGCACTTGTGCTTGGTCCAAAAGACAGAGTAGGAGTCAGCCAGGTGGAAGAGGAAGGAAGTTCCGATGCAGTGAGGTGCCTGCCCCTCCTCTGGGCGGGGGGGTGGTCTTTGCCCTGTATGTGTGCTGGACTCCGCGGTCCCCTCTCCCTCCAGGAAAGCTCTGCACTCTTCCCTGATGAGATTCTCTTCCTGTCATGCTCCTCACCTTGGGAAGTAATTTAATACCGTGTGTTGTATGTTAAAATTAGAACATTCAGATCTGTGGGTTGAAAGGAAGAAAAACAATCATTCAGTCATTATCCATGAAAATTAAACACCGTATAGTGTCGTGTTCATAAAGACAGAGACCTTCCCAGCCAATAAATTCTTAATATTGAGCAGTTCCTCTTGAGAAAATTAAATTTCTGGGAACTGAGAGTGGGTTGCCATTTACTCAGGAGTGTGGCTGTTTGCACAGGTAATGTTACCTGGGTGCTGGAGTTGAGAAAGCCCATTATCTTCAGCTGCTGTGAAAGCAGGTGGCCCAACCAGTAGGCTGAGCCCCTCTTCCTCCTGGGGAGCCAGGCAGCCAGTCACAGACAACCACAGGTATTTCTGAACCCCACTGTGGACCTAAATGCCTGGTTCTGGGTAGAATAAGCTTTTAGGAGCTCAGAGTCCATAACGGAGACAAGCTCTCCGCATTGTCTTAAAGTAGAGCAAACAGGCCAGGGTGGCTTCGGGCCTCCTCCGCCATCCAGCCAGGCACCCAGCTCAACCTGTGAGTCTGATCACTGATCAGGTACCTAGAGCCTGAGCACAGCTCAGAGGAGGAAGCTACAGGGGGCTAGTGGGCAAGAGCACGCAAGAAGATGTGGGCAGAGAGGGTCCTCCAATCTGGAGCTTGACTTGACCAGAATTGGTCTCCGTGTGAGGCCTGGGCCTGCCTTTGCATGCCCCCTCCTTCCCTGTGTCAGCCTGTCACTGGCTGTGTCTGCCCCGTGGGCTCCAAGCAGTGAGGGTGGGAGTGCCGAGTGCAGAGTCCCGAGGTCTGGGTGCCCACCGGTCCCATCCATGACATGGGGTGTGCCTATAGGAAGTAACTGCCTGACTTGGGCTGACTTGGGCTGGGCAGGGGCCGTGCAGGTCACCCCTGAGGTCCAGCACATCCCAGATGCCGGTTTCTACCATGCAGGTTCCCCATGAGGAATATTGGATTTGGTTTGTCCAAGGTGATGGAGCTGAGGGGCGCTGTCTCCCCGAGGGGCCTCGGCTGCCATTGGGGGGATGGAAACTGGCAGGACCCTCCCCTGCTGGCTTCCACGCCCCCACCCCCTGTGCCGAGAAGTGGGCACCCCTCACCGAGCTGTGGCGACGCACCCGGGTGATGGGGCATCTGCGGGGTTGGGCAGGAAAGCTGCCCCATGGCCCTTTTCAGGGGGCAGGGCCAGCGGGGCCTTGGGGTCGGGTGTGGGCACTGCAGCTCGTGCGCCCTGCGGCCTTGGTTTCCCCTTCAAGTGGATGGGAACAAGCCGCCTGTGCTGCCACCTTTGCCGCCCTCCTTTCTGTGACCGTGAATGTGAGGACGCCGGGGTCCTTGGAGAAGTGGGAGCACATGGTCGCTGGCGTCCCGTGACCGAATTTCAGTGTGAGATCTTCAGGGTCATCCGTGTTGCAGCGTGGGCCAGCATTTCCTTCCTCTCAATGCTGAGCAGTACTCCATTGTGTGTCCAGACCGCATGTCGCTTATCCATCCGTCTGTCCATGGACACTTGTGTTCCTTCCACCTTTCGGCTCCTGTGGTTCATGCCACACACAGGGCGTGCGAGTATCTGAGTCCCTGCTCTCACCTGTTTTGGGTGTCCTGCCCCCCCCAGAAGGGGGATTGCTGGAAGCCGGCATTGTCTGTTTGCAGCTCTGTCTTCCCACAAGCCTGTGAGCATCTTGAGTCTTGAGTCAGTCTTAGCTGTGCATCCCCAGCCACCCCAGGGCCTTACCCTAAATGTCCCCTCCAGCAGCTCCTTGTTGACCCAGTGAATGAATGAGGTGAATGAATGAGTCCTAATGCCCGGGTTGCCCCAGGACCACACACGATCATTCCACGTGCCGTGCAAAATCTCTGGCAATCCTGCTCTTGGTTCCTCACACCTAGACTCTGCACAATGGGATGGTGAAGATGGCATTTGGGGAATTTTTCTCAGGGAGCGAATGATCTCTGGAAGCACTTTGGTAAATTGCTTGTGGTGGGGTAAGATCCCCAGAGGAGCCTGAGGCCCCAGCAGTGGTGGCTGAGTCCCTGAGACGAGGTGGGGACAATGGTAGGAGAGAGGGGCAAACATTCACAATAGGGGACATTTATGCTGTGCTCCCTGTGGCCAGGACTGCTGTTCCATTTGTTCTGAGGACAGTCCTGTGAAGTTCGTGTTGCTCTTGAGCCCATTTCCAGATGGTGAAACAAATTGAGAGAACGTAGGTAGACTGGTGCTCATCAGCGGCAGTGCCAAGACTCAGCACTCAGTGCAGAGCGTTTGGAACCCACAGTTCTAGCGGCAGGGGGCAGGTGCTGTTTGCTCAGGGCTTCAGTGCCACTGCGTGGTCCCCAATCTGTTGGGGAGTTCAGCTTGGCCGGAATGAGCCTGCTTTCACGCCTGCCCAGCTGACATGAGGTTGGTGTGGAGCACTGGAGCTTGGGGTGGAGAAAGCTCCCAGCGTCTGCAGACAGTACCAGCAAGAGTCAGGCACTGGGCTCGGGGTAGGGAAGTTTTCAGGTCTCAGCCTCTGGGCCCAGTGTTGAGGGCCATGGGCTCTGGAGGTGACAGAAGCGTGACCCCTATACCACTTGTCTAGGATGTTTACCCATCCTGAATTTGTTTATTCATCAGACAGTATCCACTGAGCAAGTCTGTGAACCAGGCACTGGTGCAGGCCCCAGGCCAGGGCTGGGCCCTCATGCAGCTGTGAGGTGGGCGGCCAGGCTGAGCGCTGGAGGACCAGCACAGCTGGTGTGGATTGCCATGGGGACACCTGAGTGCCTTCGGAGCAGGGATGGGGCTCAGGGTAGGCTGGAGACTCAAAGGATGAACCAAGATAGGAGGGAACAGGGGAGGGAAAAACATTTCCAGGCAGAGAGCACAGATGTGGGAGATAGGGAGCCCAGAGAGAGCACACGGTATTTTGGAAGGATTGAAAGAAGTCCAAAATAGCCAGGAAGGACTTAGGGGTGGAGAGGGAAGCAGGGAGTCTAACAGGTCGCTGTGCTGGGCGGAGGCCTGTTGCTGTGCGGCCAGCCTTGCCCGCTCTAGCTTGCCTGGATGCTCGGTGGCTGTGTCTACACTCCACGGTGCCCCTCCACCTAGGTGCTCCCATCCAGGTGATCCCGTGGCCCCCCTGTGCCAGGCCCTGTGGCAGGGGAGACTGGGAGCTCTAGTCTCCCTTCCCCTGGAGCCCTGGGACTTCTGCGCCCCCAGCCATGGCTTTGTCCCCACACAGCTGCCCTCAGGCTTGGTGAGTGCATTCCTCTGTTCCCGTGCTGTCATCCTCACCAGGATGTAAGCCTCTCAAGTTCAAGTTCATGTCTGATCATTTCAGTGTCCTCGTGTCCCCATCCCTGGCTGGTTCAAACATGCTGTGTGCTTGTTGAATGCAATTAACTTGCTAAAGGCAGAAGGAAGTGGGTTTTTCTCCTCACTTCCCTAATCAGGGAAGAATGTCAGGAACTAAATTCTTCCCTTTTGATTACAACTTAAATTCTGAGGCTTTAATTTATGTAGGGAAAGGGGAAGAGGCTTGCAGATCTGTTTCTGAGAGCCACGTTGGCTGTTTAATATTAGTGCCCAGGAGACATCTGTTTTCTGCATTTCTAAACCTAATTTCTTCATCCGCTGATACTTGTTGAGAGACTGTGACTTCCTCCATTATGAACTCGCCTGAGTGAGCCCATTCGTAATAATATGTGTAATTACATCAAGATGTATATAACACGACAGACATGAAACCAGCACGAAGCCAACACGTGTCCAGAAACGCATTGGGTTACGTTGAACAATGAGCCATAGTTTGTTTTATTAAGGAAAAACAACCTTCCATTTCCTGTATTCCCCCCCCACCCCCCTAGGAATTGCTGTTGGATTAAAATTATCCCAATGAATTTCCCTTCTTTATGCGACAGTAGCTTGATTTTCCTGATTTGGGTTCAGGGAGGAGAGATACTTGGCATGTTAATATGCCTGTTTTCCACACTCAGGTCATGTCTCAGCAGTTGGTTGGATATCATTTGAGAAGAGGGGGACATAGATCTGCTGGGGGAGGGTTCCTGTCTGGGCATCCGTAGAAGCTTCCAGAACTCTTCCTCCTGTCCCCGGGGCTCAGCAGGAGCCAAGTTTTCCTTGACTGGCACTCACCCCTCTCTGAAGCGCACGGGTGAGGCGAGCGTGGAAGGACTCCTAAACCAGCTGGTCCTGGAGCACCTGCAGCTGGCTCCTCTTCAGTGGGGTGAGTACGCGCCTGTCACCTCTGGGTGAACGCGCCTTTCCCTGCAGGTGGCCGAGTCGGCCGGCTGGCCATGGCAAGTCTGCGTCTTGCCTGAGCACGGCTCTTCAGGCGCGTCCCATCAGCACACACTTGTGAAAGGGTCAGCGTCCTCAAACACACATGTGGTGATGGGTGTCGAGACGCCCTCGCGTCCCAGCTGCTGCAGAGTCTGACATTGCCCGTGGCGGCCCGTGGCCTTGTGCCCACGGCGTGCCTTCTGTCTGTGTGTCTGGATCTTGAGTGGTTGGCATGGGGACAGGGAGTGCTGCCTCCGTGCTCCTACTCCTCTCTGGATGAACTCCAACCACGGGGTCGGCACGGAACAGTGTGTATTTGGTAAAGACCTGAACTTGGTCCTCAACCCAGGAGCGTTCACTGTGATTAGCATCGACGATGTACCTGAGTGTTTGCTTCCTGGTCTACTAGCAGCTTTGACCCTGCTCTGTGCCTTCCTGAGAGCAGCCAAAAGTATCTTGTTGAGGAACAGACTAAGTGTATTGCTGTTGAAGTGAGAGACTTTATTATTTTCTGGAAATGATTTCATTATCTAATCTACTTTAGGTCAGTTGCTGGCAATCAGCTATATTTTACCTCAGATATCATTGTAAATTAGTATCAAGTCTCTTCTCCAGGTAATCGAAGTATCCTCTCCCCCTTTTGCATGCGAGAAACACATGGGAATTGTCCCAGGGGCCATGGGCCTTTCGGCTGGCCTTCCCTTGCTTCCCATCAGTTTGTGAGAACCCCTGTACTACATGGGGGACCCCCTCCCCCACCGGTCTCCCTGCTCCTTCAGGTGAAGGCCAGCAGGAGTCCCATGAGCAGCCAATGAGTGGACCACATTTTACTCCATGCATCCAGCCTGAGTGGAAGGAAAGGGGGGGCATTTCTGCAGAGAATCAGTGTGTGCACCTCTGGGGGCTTCCCTCGGCACCCAGATACTTTTCTAGGTTGGAACATCCCAGCTCCTGGTTACCTGGGCACAGCCAGGTACTTCCACCAGATGTGGGCAGCCGAGCAGAGTCAGACACCCAGACCCTCCCGCCTCCAGGGCTGGGACAGGCCCAAGAAGCCAGTCCTGTGAAACAAAATGAAATAAAATGTGTGTTAACATATTCTGTCCCGCAAAAGAACTTCCCTGAGGCCCAAACAGTCACGTGGCGGCAGCCACGCCCTGCAGTGGGCCCAAAGAGGGCCTCGCATCTGCACCGGATTCCTTAGAGGTGTTTTAACTTTTCTGTTTTTTAACAACGTTTGGGTCCGCTGTCCTACACACATTATGGGCACGCCAGTATGTTGGTAGATAACACAGGTTTAATAATATTATCCTGGAGAGGATGCATGGCTTTAAAAAAAAAAAAATCACCCTAGGACCTGGGAGACATTTGTGCCAAGAGGCCTTGCTGGGAGGGCGTTAGCCACCTCCTGGTGGCTCCCCCAACGGGGCAGCTGGGGGCCACACCTGTAGTGCCCCAGGCGTCTGACCGAGCCGAGGTCCTGCGCTCACGGCATTAACACCCCCCAGAAACCATGCGTGACGTTTTCCCAGTCCGAGTGTCATAATTTGGTACCATATCTGGCTGTTTCCAGTGAACATCTTTTTGAACAGATTTTTGCTTGATTTTTTTGACCGGTTTTCTAGTTTGGGAGTTACTAAGTCAAAAGATGTGAATATTAGACTCTCGAGCTGTTTTGTCAAATGAACCTGTGACTGTTGATGGCGACATGGCTGTTGTGGGAACCAGGATTTCTGAAGTCCCTTTCCCTTCTGTGCGGTGAGCACCGTTGCAGTGTGGTGGCCCATGTGAGCTGGTGGGCAGTTTTGTCTGCCTCCCCAGGCCCCTGGCAGTCCCCAGCGGAGCAGCGTCTTCATCCCTGGCCTCAGCTCATGGCAGCGCCCGCCTCCCGTCACCCCAGCTGTGGGTGATGCCAACATCTCAGGCCGTGGGTCTGCCCGTCCCCTGTGCTCCCCCATGACTGGGCTCTCCTAACCGCTCTAACAGGGCCCTCTGGCCTGAGGGGGCTCAGAGTTTCTGTGCAGGTTGCCTCGGCTGGGCCCTCGCTTACCCAGCAGGTGCTCCTGGAGCTTCCAAACGTCAGCCCGCTTGGCCTGGCTGACTGATTTCTTTCTCTGACTCAAGCAGGCTCAGGTGGGTAGCTCAACAAGATAAAACCCGTTATTTTGAAGTAACCATTTTGCACGTGCCTGTCACGTGGCAGGCAAGGCGCCCGGACATCACGCCATCACTTCTGACACCCCTGCACGCTGTGCATGTCCTTTTCTGAACGAGGACACCAAGGGTCGTCCAGGTCCAGGGTTCTGTCCAGCACCTGACCAGCCGAGGGGTGACTGGTCCAGGTTCAAAGGCAGATGCCCCGCGGGGCACCTGGGTGGCTCAGTTGGTTAGGCAGCTGCCTTCGGCTCAGGTCATGATCCTGGAGTCCCGGGATCGAGCCCCACATCGGGCTCCCTGCTCAGTAGGGAGTCTGCTTCTCCCTCGTGACCCTCCCCCCTCTCATGCTGTCTCTCTCTCATCCTCTCTCTCAAATAAATAAATAAAATCTTAAAAAAAAAAAAAAGGCAGATGCCCTCACATTGGCCTTTCCACCAGGTCACTTGATCAAAGTAATATATTCTCACCATGGAAAGCTAGGGAAAATCAGAAAAGTTGGACAGAGAAAAATTACTCTTTTCCCACCCCTCAAAACAATCTCTATTTCATGTGTATTTCTAAGCCTTTTTGCTATCCTCAAATTTAAATTTTATTCATAGAGATGATCAGACCAGGTTTGTACTTTGGTGTCTTTTTTTTTCCCTTGAAAAACACAAATATTCCCCGTGTTACAAACATGTCTTATACATGCCATTGAAGGCCTGGTTATAATTTCATCAAGTGGACACAAGGTAACTTAGCCCCTCTTCTTTGTTTTGAGATGTTCATTGTTCTATAAATCATATGCACTGGCTTGCACAGAGAGCTTTTTTGTGTTTTGGGGTTATTCTCTCTGCAAGGATTTTCTGAAGTTGTTCATATTTTCTGGGGTGTTGGTAGAGCACAAACATGTCCATGTTGGCTGTGTGATGGTGGTGATGTCACCCAGTAGACGGGCATGCCGCCGGCACCAAGCTGCTCTGGGTCTTGGTCCTGGCTCTGCTGCTGCCTCGTGCTGGAACTTCCTTGGGCAAGTGGACGAGTTCTCTGAGCCTCAGTCTCTTACTTGTGAACTGGGGATGCTGAGGGCACCAAGTCGTCAGTGAAGGTGTGACGAAATGCCTGTGATCCTGGCAGGAGCATGCTCCTCTGCCCGTCCGAGCAGGTGGGGGACCACTGGAGCTTCTGTGTATCAGTCGGTCATGGAAAGGAGGAAGTGGAGATTCTGGGTTGCATCCAGAGGCACGGTGGGGCAGGGGCAGGTCAGAGCCGCAGCAGGGCTGGGACAGGGCCTGGGACTGGACCCCAGGTCGGCATGGTTGGGCTGTGGCTTCTTTTTTTTTTTTAATTTAATTTAATTTTATTATGTTATGTTAGTCACCATACAGTACATCATTAGTTTTTGATGTAGTGATCCACAATCCATTATTTTCGTATAACACCCAGTGCTCCACGCAGAACGTGCTCTCTTTAATACCCATCACCAGGCTAACCCATCCCCCCAACCCCCTCCCCTCTAGAACCCTCAGTTTGTTTTTCAGAGTCCATCGTCTTTCATGGTTTGTCTCCCCCTCCGATTCCCCCCCCTCATTTTTCCCTTCCTTCTCCTAATGTCCTCCAAGCTATTCCTTATGTTCCACAAATAAGTGAAACCATATGATAATTGACTTTCTCTGCTTGACTTATTTCACTTAGCATAATCTCCTCCAGTCCCATCCATGTTGATGTAAAAGTTGGGTATTCATCCTTTCTGATGGCTGAGTAATATTCCATTGTATATATGGACCACATCTTCTTTATCCGTTCATCTGTTGAAGGGCATCTCGGCTCTTTCCCCAGTTTGGCTATTGCGGACATTGCTGCTGTGAACATTGGAATGCATATGGCCCTTCTTTTCACTACATCTGTGTCTTTGGGGTAAATACCCAGGAGTGCAATTGCTGGGTCATAGGGTAGCTCTATTTTTAAATTTTTGAGAAACCTCCACACTGTTTTCCAAAGTGGCTGTACCAACTTGCGTTCCCACCAACAGTGTAAGAGGGTTCCCCTTTCTCCACAACCTCTCCAACATTTGTTTTTTCTTTCCCTGTCCGTTTTTGCCATTCTGACTGGTGTAAGGTGGTATCTCAGTGTGGTTTTGATTTGAATTTCCCTGATGGCTAATGACGATGAATATTTTTTCATGTGTCTCTTATAGGCCGCGGCTTCTGATGTGCTGTGCCTCTCATCTCCCTCTGGAAACTGTCCTGTGAACTAGGGGGCTGCACCTCTGCGCGGGAAGACAGGGCGGGTTGCAGAGCCCAGCATGCCCCCTGACTGCCTGTCTAGGGGCTGTTTGCAGTCCATTCCGTCAGTACCAGTTGTGACTAATGAGGCTGAGCTGATTCCAGTGTCCCCCTACCGTGCCCCCTTCTACCTCCCTCAGCTGGTGACACTTTTTGTATCTTCCTAGATACATCAGTGATGGGCTGTGCTTTCCATGATGGCCAGCAAATGCAGATTAGGTGTTGGCTACCTTACGAGGGGGTATTTTCAGTGCACATTCGCCATATCATCCTCCCGTGAGCCCCGCCGTGCATTCCAGCCCCGAGCTGTGGTGTGCAGACGGTGCGTGCACACATGGGGGTAGCAGGTCTAGCAGACACATGAGACTGGTGTGGGGACACCCGCTGCCCTGCCTCAGGGAGCAGCACGCCCTCACATTTGGGGAGCAGGACACAGTGTCCAACCCATGCAAGTCTGAGAGATCATCACCACTATTCCCTTTTTACAAAGTAGAAAATATTCAGGGGTTTCTGTTACCTAAGG